CTCTCTCTCTCTCACTCTCTCTCTCTCTCTCTCTCTCTCTCTCTCTCTCTTTCTCTCTTTCTCTCTCTCTTTCTCTCTCTCTGTATTTATATCCCGCTCTCTCTTTTTCTCTCTCTCTCTCTCTCTCTCTCTCTCTCTCTCTCTCTCTCTCTCTTTCTTTCTTTCTTTCTTTCTTTCTTTCTTTCTTTCTGTATTTATACCCCGCTCTCCCCGCGAACGGGCTCCCAGCAGCCCTGTAAGGCAGGCAAGGATAAGCTTCAAGGCAGAGGAGGGATGTGAACCTACTTGCAGTCCTGTGTAGAGTCCCTCCAGTAGAAGCCCCTTGGCTTCCGTAGCCGTAGAGCGGAGTAACAGCAACAGAGTGGACTGTTGGTGCCCCGGGAGCTCTCAGTTGAACCCACGCGAGGCCGCCTTCGGCCGAATCAGGCCCTCGGGGTCCATCAAAGATCAGTACGGTCGACTCAAACTGGCAGCGACTCTCCAGGGTCTCAGGCAGAGGTCTTTCCCATCACTTACCAGTTTGATGTAGTCAGGGGTCATTTCGTAGAAAAAGAGGTGCAGGAGCTCATTTGCAGAACTCATTTACATAGGCCACACCCCCTGACATCACCGGAAGTGTGTCAGAAGGCAACGCCCGCAACTTACCTGGCTGCTTATTGTTCCTCGTGGACCAACTGAGGGCTGCTGGGAGCAGAGGGCGGGGCTTGTTGCATGTGCCACACGGTATAGATAGGGGCTCTGGAGCAAGTGATGCTCTGTCTTCTTGGTGCTTGGGGTGGGGTGGGGGCAACAGTGGGAGGGCTTCTAGTCTCCTGGCCCCACTGCTGGACCTCCTGAGGGCCCCTGGTATTTCTGGCCACTGTGTGACACAGAGTGTTGGACTGGATGGGCCTTTGGCCTGATCCAACATTGGCGTCTCTTATGTTCTTATGTTCTGAGCTCCTAACTGCCAGAGCTCCGCTCCTGTGCACTCCCGCAGGAAATGACCCCTGGATGTAGTGGTTAAGAGCGGTGGACTCTAATCTGGGAGAATTCCCCGCTCCTCCTCCACATGCAGCTGCGGGTGTGACCTTTGGCCAGTCACAAGTTCTCTCAGAGCTGTTCTCTTTTTTTTTTTTTTGTATAAAGATTTTATTGAACCCCCTAAAAAGGGGCGGAGTTTCGCTTAAAAAGAAAGATAAGGAGGGTATTATGTGG